GTGTGTGAGGAGATGAAACTGAACTCTGGGCAAGAGATGTGCTCTGTGTACAAAGCAAAGAGCAGCACAGTGACTCCTGGTGGCAAAAGGCACAAATCCACAGTCACCCGGGGAGAGGGAACCCGTGCTCATGAGGACAGAGGACAATAAGTGCCAAACTCAAGAGCAATCATCCTGCTAAGACCACTGGGCCCTGAATCCAGGTAATCCTATAACCCTCCAGGAGTTAAACACATTGGAGAGTAAATAAATTACAGTGGATGTTCTCTTGGAAAAAAAAAAAAAAGGAAGAAAACACCTGATTAAGACAATACTGCTCAGTTCACACAGTAGCAGGTGGGACACAAATATTTAAATAAAGGGGGTTTTCCCAACAAATCAAAGTTCTACACCAAATCATGGCTCCTTACTGTCTAGGAGAAGCCATGGTCTCAGGGGGACAGCTCTGCCCAGGAAAGAGGGGCCCTGAGGGGGAAAATGACCCTGAGGCTGTTCCCAGGAAGGAGGGGCTGGAGGCTGTGGCTGAGAAAAAGGGAAGTTCATGAAGAAACATGTGATATAAAGAAAACCCAGATTCTGGGGCCTCAGAAGGCTCCTGTTTCCTTCCCTTATTTCCCTTCACCCCCACCCCCTCTGTGCTCATTGTCACAGGGACACAGCCCTGAGCTGCACAGTTGGAGGGTGAGCGTGTCCCTGCTGATCTGAGCTCTGCAGGCCACAGGGACCCACGACATCCTGAAGCCTCTCCAGGGCCCGGGTGACACTGTCCATGGTGAGGACCACAGGGAGGTGCTGATGGGGTGGGGTGGGGGTGGGGCTCCCCGTGGGGGAGGCTCTGACAGGGAAGGACGTGCCCTGGGTCACCTCACCTGCAAGGGGCATCTCAGCAGGCTGCGGGTCTATTTCCTGCTTCACCATGGAAATGAGAGCCAGGCTGCTAACGTCAGAGCCCCGTGACAAGGAGGATCAGCCTCCAAGTGACCATCACCCTTGCATCTGTCCCTCTATCCTTCTAGCACCGTGGCCTCCTCCATCTGCTCAGCTGAGGCCACAGGGAGAAGACACCATGACCCCCACCCTCAGGGCCCTGCTCTTCCTCGGTGAGATGGGAGGGGGAGGGGATCCCTGGTCTGCCAGGACCCAGGACTCAGGAGGCTCATGGGGAGGAGGGTGCTGCTCAGGGTTCAGGGCAAATCTCTCACAAGGACTCTCTTCCAGGGCTGAGTGTGGGCCTCAGGACGCCAGTGCAGGCAGGTGAGTCTGTCCCCAGGTGTCCCAGGTCCGGCACTGTCCATGGTGAGGACCCCAGGGAGGTGCTGATGGATGGGATGAGGAGGAAGGAGATCCCGTGGGGGAGGCTCTGACAGGGAAGGACGTGCCCTGGGTCACCTCACCTGCAAGGGGCATCTCAGGAGGCTGCGGGTCTATTTCCTGCTTCACCATGGAAATGAGAGCCAGGCTGCTAACGTCAGAGCCCCGTGACAAGGAGGATCAGCCTCCAAGTGACCATCACCCTTGCATCTGTCCCTCTATCCTTCTAGCACCGTGGCCTCCTCCATCTGCTCAGCTGAGGCCACAGGGAGAAGACACCATGACCCCCACCCTCAGGGCCCTGCTCTTCCTCGGTGAGATGGGAGGGGGAGGGGATCCCTGGTCTGCCAGGACCCAGGACTCAGGAGGCTCATGGGGAGGAGGGTGCTGCTCAGGGTTCAGGGCAAATCTCTCACAAGGACTCTCTTCCAGGGCTGAGTGTGGGCCTCAGGACGCCAGTGCAGGCAGGTGAGTCACCCAGGTGTCCCAGGTCCCACTCCTCCCTGGGGAGAAGGGCCACCCTCCAGGCAGCAGAGAGAGGAGTACAGATCTGTCTGAGACACGGGAGGGGGAGCATCTGGGACTGAGAGCTGGGACCAGGGGTGGGAATGTCCTGTGACCCAGCCTCTGATTCCTTCCAGGGCCCCTCCCCAAGCCCACCCTCTGGGCTGAGCCAGGCCCTGTGATCCCCCGGGGGAGCTCCGTGACCATCTGGTGTCAGGGGACTCTAGGGGCTGAGGAGTACCAGCTGGAGAAAGAGGGAAGCCCACCATCATCCAAAAGACAGGAGCCACAGGAGCCCAGGGATAAGGCCAAGTTCTCCATCACACACATGGCAGAGCGTGATGCTGGGATATATCGCTGTCTATATATCAGCCCCACTAACATGTCAGAGCGCAGTGACCCCCTGGAGCTGGTGATGGTGACTGGTGAGAAGACACTCAGGGGTCCCCAGCCTCAGGCTCTGCCCTCAGGAAGGGGGTCTGCTCTCAAGATGTCTCCCTCTCACAGCCCAGCCCTGGGGGACGTGAGGGAGGTGTGAGCCCCATTTAATACACTGCCTCCTCCTCTCCTAGGATCCTACAGCAAACCCAGCCTCTCAGCCCTTCCCGGCCCTGTCGTGACCTCAGGACAGAACGTGACCCTCCAGTGTGGCTCAGGGCAGGGATTTGACAGGTTCCTTCTGACTGAGGAAGGAGATCACAGGCTCTCCTGGGCCCTGGACTCACAGCCACAGCCCAGTGGTTGGTCCCAGGCCCTGTTCCCTGCGGGTCCTGTGACCCCCAGCCACAGGGGGACGTTCCGATGCTATGGCTGTTACAGGAACAGCTCCCAGGTGTGCTCACATCCCAGTGATGACCTGGTGCTCCTGGTCTCAGGTGAGGGCCCCTGACCCTGTCTGCTGAGCTGTCAGCTCAGGGTCCCCTCCCCAGAGCAATCATGGGCTGAAAGGGAGGGAGGGGCTGTAGGGATGGTCACCCAGAGAGATCTGCACCTCGGACACCCCCTGTCCCCTCCCCAACCCTCCACTTCACCTGGTCCAGAAGGTGCCAGGTTGGCAGTGGGAGAGACTTAGTGAGGACTCTGTGGATGGTGGCTCCAGGGTCAGCCCCAGGCCGTCCCCCTCTTGCAGTCCTTCCCAGACCCAGGTGCCCCAAGACCCCACCCAGAGGGTGCTCTCTGCTCAGAGGGAGACAGCACCCCAGGCAGTTCTGAGTCTGAGAATCTAACTCCCCCCATGCGCTAAGGGCAGGCTGTGTCCTAAGGCTGCTAGGAGCTGGGGACAGATTTCAGGAAAGAGTGGGGCCCAAGGGCTCTGAGGATTGGTCTCCCCCACCCAGGGAGTCAGGTCCACAGCGGGGAAGTGGGGGTCTCTGTGGGGAGGTGGTGGGTGCCTCCATGGGGACAAGGGCTGAGTCATGTGATGGTTCAGGAACCTCTGAAGTCTCTCACGTTGACTCACACTTCTCCTACCTGGGCCTCAGTGTCTCCAGTGTAAAAGGAGAGAATCCTTGTCCAGATCTTACATTTCCTGTCAGTTCTGGCCCTGACCTCCTGGGAGAGGGGCCTCACAGGGAAGCCTCCAGGACGTGATGTTATGGGGCCTGTCCCCTCTGTCTCAGCGACAGTCACACTGTACAGGGAGGAACAGGCAGGACAAGGGTCCGGGCACCCAGTCCTCCCCCTCAGCTCATGCGCAGCTCAGAGGAGGGAACAGGGTGGATCAGCCCTGGTTCAGCTCCTGGCTCTGCTGCTCCTGCTGTGGGGCTGGGCGGTCCCTTCTCTCCTCTGAGTGCCGGGTTCCTATCTGCTCATCCCTGGTCCCATCCTGCTCACAGGCTGCTGGGAGATGAGGTGACATAGGGCCTCACAGAGCTCAGGAAGGCAGAGCCCCCAGCCCAGCCCGACCTTCCCAAGGGGGCGTCAGGGCCTGCAGGGTGGAGAAGGATCCTGGAGAGACAGGGAGTCCACCCCTCACCCTGCCCCTCCTGTCCCTGCTGTGCTGGGGGCGGGTAATGAGGAAGGACCCTCAGCTCCAGATGAGACGTGGACTGGCCGCTGGAGATGAGGAGCCCAGAGCTGGAAGCTGGTGTCCCCCTGGGGAGCAGCGTGAGGACAGGACAGGGAACTCACAGTCCTGGGTTCCAGTCCCAGCCCCGCCCCGTCCAGGCTGGGTGACCTGGGGCACGTGGTTAACCTCTCTGAGCCTCAGTGAGTGGGTGGTGAGGTCAGCAATCCTGGTGAATGACTGCTGTGAGGTGAGAGGAGATGAGTGGCAACCCCAGCACATACCTCGCACACAGTAGGTGCTCATTAAATGACAGCACTGTTGCCTAAACCGGTTTGGCTCAGTGGATAGAGCGTCGGCCTGCGGACTGAAGGGTCCCAGGTTCGATTCCGGTCACGGGCAAGTGCCTGGCTTGCGGGCACATCTACAGTGGGAGATGTGCAGGAGGCAGCTGATCGATGTTTCTCTCTCATCACCCTGCCCCTCCTGTCCCTGCTGTGCTGGGGGCGGGTAATGAGGAAGGACCCTCAGCTCCAGATGAGACGTGGACTGGCCGCTGGAGATGAGGAGCCCAGAGCTGGAAGCTGGTGTCCCCCTGGGGAGCAGCGTGAGGACAGGACAGGGAACTCACAGTCCTGGGTTCCAGTCCCAGCCCCGCCCCGTCCAGGCTGGGTGACCTGGGGCACGTGGTTAACCTCTCTGAGCCTCAGTGAGTGGGTGGTGAGGTCAGCAATCCTGGTGAATGACTGCTGTGAGGTGAGAGGAGATGAGTGGCAACCCCAGCACATACCTCGCACACAGTAGGTGCTCATTAAATGACAGCACTGTTGCCTAAACCGGTTTGGCTCAGTGGATAGAGCGTCGGCCTGCGGACTGAAGGGTCCCAGGTTCGATTCCGGTCACGGGCAAGTGCCTGGCTTGCGGGCACATCTACAGTGGGAGATGTGCAGGAGGCAGCTGATCGATGTTTCTCTCTCATCGATGTTTCTGGCTCTCTATCTCTCTCCCTTCCTCTCTGTAAAAAATCAATAAAATATATTAAAAAAAAAAAGGTGTTAAGTTCTGCTTATTTTTATAAATTTTATATAATACCATGTTATTTTCTTCAAAATATTTTTAAATAGTTGATATCTACCTATTTATTTTAACAGTAGACTTTTAAAGCTAGTATTATTCATCTCCATGAATTTTAGGTTGTACATGGATGGAGAAATAGGAATACCATTTCCATTTCCATTTAGTTTATGTTTTTTTTCTAAAACAATAATACTTAAACATGTCATTCCATACTTGAAGTCCATTGAAGTTTTCCCCCACCGGCAGCTATATATTTATCTGTGGAGCAGAATGGGTTATGTGTCAAGAAAGAAAATGCTTCTAACAGAAGCATATACATCACCAATGGGAGCTCTGTGACCATCTGGTGTCAGGGGTCTCTGCAGGGTAGTGCCTATGTTCTGTATAAAGACAGGCGCTCTGAGCCCTTCGAAACAAGGATCCCACAAAACTCCAGCATCAAGGCAGGTGTCCTCATTGGAGTCACGACCACAACCCACGCAGGGCTGTACCAGTGTGCATATTACACCACTGAGGACATACTCTCAGAGCTGAGTGACCCCCTGCTCCTGGTGGTGACAGGTAAGGGAGACACCGGGTCCCTCCCCATGGTGGGCTCCAGGTCACAGGCAGAGGGAATAAAGTGTGGCCTCAGGGGACCTCACCCCTCACAGAACACACCTGGGGCGTGAGGGCAAAGGTCCCTTTAACACAGACCCTTTCTCCTCCCTCAGGAGTGGGCGACGCACCCTCCCTCTCAGCCCAGCCAAGCCCTGTGGTGGCCTCAGGAGGGAACGTGTCCCTCTCCTGTAGCTCACGGTCCACATCGGGCCCTTTCCATCTGCTGAAGGAGGGAGGGGCTGACCCGCCCCGACACATGGAAGCAGAACCCAGGATGCATGCTGGGAGGAGGCAGGCCATCTTCACTCTGGGCCCCGTGAGCACCTCCCATGGGGGGACCTACAGATGCTATGGTTCTTCAAGCGACTACCCCAATGTGTGGTCACAGCCCAGTGCCCCTCTGCACATCGAGGTCACAGGTGAGGGACCTGCCAGGGTGCATCCCCATCTGTTTCCTGGGCCCAAATATCTGATCTGAGCTGTGAGCCCAGGTCTCGACTGGGCGTCAGTGACACTGGCCTCTTTTAGACAGACCCACAGGCGGGAGGCTCAGGGAGGGACATGTGAGACCTCTCACTACAGCCCAGTGGGCAATGTGGGGTGTCCCTTGCTATCACTGTCCCCTCCTCCCAGGTGTGTACAGGGAGCCCGCCCTCTCGGCCCAGCCAGGCTCGCTGGTGCTGCCTGGACACAGCCTGACCCTCCAGTGCCACGCGGAGGCCGGCTTTGACACATTCGCTCTGACCAAGGACGAGGGCCTCACACACCCCCAGCGCCTCCATGGGCAGCACAGCCCCGACTTCCCCCTGGGCCCCGTGAACCGCACCCACGGGGGCTGGTACCGATGCTACAGTGGACACAACCTCTCCTCTGTGTGGTCAGCCCCCAGCGCCCCCCTGGACATCCTGGTGGCAGGTGAGGAGCCAGCCCTGCCCCTGTGCTGAGGGTCTGCTCAGGGCTCTGGGCCCAGGGTCACCTGGGGGTGATGGGGTCCAGAAGAGGGGCCTGGAGCAGAGGCTGAGCTGGGCAGAGGCCTAGGGGGAGGGAGGAGAAAGGGGGTGAGGCCATGGAGATAAAAGATACCACCCCAGGGGGACTGAGAGGAGCTGAGAGGGGGTCACAGACAGAGTCTCTGAAGAAGGACAAGGTCCCTCAGCTCAGGGTCAAGCGCAGAGAGGGGAGGGGTGGCTCTCTACACATCACAACCTTCCTCTCCCCAGGAATGTACACAAAACCCTCCCTCTCAGCCCAGCCGGGACCCTCAGTGCCCAGGGGAGCGACCGTGACCCTGCAGTGTGGGTCTGAGATCTGGTTTGACACCTTCCACCTGCACAGGGAGGGCTCAGTGGACCCTCCCCTGCACCTTCGTCTTCAGGACATGTCTGCACCCTCTCAGGCCACCTTCACCCTCAGTCCTGTGACCTCAGGCCACCAGGGGACCTACAGGTGCTATGGCTCAAACAGCACCTCCCCCTACCTGCTGTCACAGCCCAGTGACCCCCTGGAGCTGGTGGTCTCAGGTGAGGAGGTCCAGCCCTGCCCCCGTATCCTCAGGTCAGTTCAGGGCTTTGTCCCCAGGGGACCTTGGGCTGCAATGTGAGTGAGGTAGTACCAGGAGGAGTGCCACTCAGAGTGAACTCTCACCTCCCAGAGGGATGGAAAGAGCCAGAGTCACTCCCTTCCCTGCCTCATTCCCATCCTCCTCCCTGAGGCCCAAGCATGCTCCTGTGGGCAGAGGGATGCTGGTGAGGATGAAACTGACCAGAACGAGAAAGGCCAGAGGAACCCATCCCGACCCTCCAGTCCCCAGTCCTGTGGCCTCAGCCAGAGACCAAGACAGGAGTGTGACCAGCAGAGGCCGGATCCCCAGAGAGAGCAGGACCCCTGCTGGAGCTCAGCCTATCTCCCAGGGGGGCTGGGGAATGGAGATGCTGGGGGACCACAGAGGAGGAGCAGCCCCCACCCCTCACCTCCCATCCTGATTGAGGAGCCTCTGAGGATTGGTCCCCCAATGGGAAGTCAGGCCAGCAGAGGACTCAGTGAGGGTGTGTAGGGGGAGGTGGTGGTGGGAGGAGCTCAGTGCTGGTCTTGGCTCAGCCACTTCCTGGGTAATGGCCTGAGGAAAGTTCCTCCTCCTCACTGGGACCAAGTTCCCCAAAGACTTAGGACACTGTGTGTGCAAGTGCACGTGTGTGTGTATGTCTGTGTGCATGTGTGCCTCCATGTGCATGTACGTGTGTGCAAGCATGTGTGTACATGTGTGTGTCTGTCTGTGTGCCTGTGTGTGTGCCTGTGTGTGCGTTGTGAGTGTGCATTTGTATGCGCATGCACGTGTGTGTGTGTGTGTGTGTGTGTGTGTGTGTGTGTGTTGGGGACACAGGTGGTGGCTGAGTCTCCTCCACAGCCTTCCCAGGAGCAGCTGTGGAGTCAGGAGAAGCAGCCTCAGCCCTGGTTCAAATCCCAGCTCTGCTCCTTCCCGCCTGTGGGACCGTGGACACGTCTGTTCCTCCGAGTCCTGGTCCATGGCTGTGGGTCAGGTCCCCACCTCCCTCACAGGGAAGGCCCTCAGCACGCAGCCCGGCCCTGGTTAGAGCTCAGGAAGGACCCAGCCCTCCCTCCTGCCCTTCCCGGAGGCGCCCCACGTGCACAGGCCCCACTGTGGAGGGAAGGGGGGTCAGGCTGCAGAGTGAGACCGGGATCTGGGCTGGGATGGAGAAGGATGGATCTACCTGTAGGTACAGGGACAGCATGAATAATAATAATAATCCTATATAATAAAGAGCTAATTAGGCCAAACAGTAGAACGACCATCTGGACATCCTTCTGGATGACCTTCCGGACGAAGCTGGGCTGCAAGGGCCGGCCGGAGCTTCGAGGGCCAAACCTCTTGCATGAATTTTTTGCATCCGGCCTTTAGTAATAATAATAATAATAACAATAATAGTAATAATGACCTGACTAGTTTTGCTCCCTTGGTTAGCGCAGCAGCCCGCGGACTAAAGGGTTGCAGGTTCAGACCCCAGTCAAAGGCACATACCTTATTTGCAGATTTGATCCCCCACCCTGGTAGGGGCACATATGGGAGGCAACCAGTCAATTTGCTTCTTTCACATCAATCTTTCTCTCTCTCTCTCTCTCTCTCTCTCTCTCTCTCTCTCTCTCTCTCTCTCTCCCCCCTCACTCCCTCTCTCTCACTTCCACTCTCTCTTTAAAGATCAATGGAAAAAATATCCTTGGGTGAGGATTAAAACAATAATAACAGTAACAACAATACAAAGGTATCCCCATGTCCCAGGTTCAAATCCCAGCCCTGCCCCGCCCAGGCTGGTGACCTGGGGCTTCTGATTAACCTCTCTGAGCCTCAGTGAAATGGGTAGTGGGGTCAGCAATCCCTGTCGCATGGCTGCTGTGAAGTTAGAAGAGATGAATGACAGAACCCAGCATGTGCCTCACACACAGTAGGTGCTCATTTATTATGTCATTCATGACAACACTTGTGTTCAAGATCTCGAATGGAACATGATCATCTGGATCGGTGTCTCGGTGGCCCTCGTCCTGCTGCTCTCCCTCCTTCTCTTCCTCTTCCTCCGCTTCCGGCGTCAGAGCAAAGGCAGTCCATCAGGTGAGTAGGGGTGACCTGGGTCACAGGAGGGGAGCTCAGAGCCCCTGCCACAGGAAAACCAAACAGCTGGAGAAGATCAGCTGAGTGGATTTCTCCAGAACCTCAAATCAGGAAATGTGGAGCCCCAGCTGGTTTGGCTCAGCCAAGGCCCCAGGCTTTCCCTGACCTTGGCCCCCCCTGCCCCTAAATCTTCTGTCTTCTCCCCCAGCTGCAGCCCAGCTGCTGATGCCCAGGAGGAGCCCCTCTGTGAGAGGAAGAGACAGCTGCCCTGGGGGAGGGGGCACAGGGATTTCAGGAGGCGATAGGGAGGGTTAGGCAGGAAGATTGGGGGTCAGGGTGAGAAGGACTGAGACCCACACTGTGTGACCTGGCGCTTCACCTCACCCTTGGTTAGTGGCCATCTGGGAGCAGGCGGGGTCTGCAGCCCTGAGATCTCGGGGACCTGCCAGGAGACACACCCCTGTTCTGCCCCAGCAGATGCTGATATGACGGACCCGCAGCCGACCCACACTGTGTGACCTGGAGCCTCACCTCACCCTGGGTTAGTGGCCCATCTGGGAGCAGGCGGGGTTTGCAGCCCTGAGATCTCGGGGACCTGCCAGGAGACATCCCCTGTTCTGCCCCAATAGATGCTTCTGTGAAGGACCCACAGCCTGGGAAGAGCGTGGAGCTGGACCCTCGGGTGAGACCCCTGCTCCTGTCTAGGCCAAGAACCTTCTGTTGCACAGTTTAATCCAATGGACCCTTCCCTGTCCCACCTCACCTGCTTCTCAGCAGCGTCCACGCTGACCTCCCCTCTGGGCCCCCAGGTTGTCCTGCTGTGACTCACTCCTCCTGGTTTCCTTGTGACCTCATGGCCCCTCCTACGTGGTCCCCTGTGCCGGCCCCTCGTCCTCTGTCTGACCTTGTGCAGCCCCAGGTCTCAGGAGGAGGCAGGAATGAGTGACTCACCCACAGTCCCCAGGATCCCCTTCATTCATTCACCCAGCAGATGTGACAGGGCTGTTTCCTGGCTCCATTTAGGGCCCACGGTGCAGCCCTGAGCCACACTGTCTCCACACGCCTCGAGCTCACCTGTGGGCGAGGGAGACAATATGCAAACAAGCAGACAGTGTCCCAGAGAGTAAAGAGCTGTGAAGGAACATAAAGCAAGAGGAGGGTATAGAATGCATGGCGGGGGGACGGGGAAAGAGCGGGTCCAATGTTCCTGAGGCAGGACATGCTTCTTCAGGAGGATGGACCATGAGGCTGGAGCCAGGAGAGCAAGAGAGAGCACATAGGATAAGAGTCAGAACCATAGAAGCATCCAGAGGCCCCAAAGCTCAGGAAGGCCCAGCAGATTCCACCAGGAGAGGGACCTGATCTATTTAAAGTGTAAACCATCTCTCTGGCAACATGTGGATACTTGACAGGAGGCACTGTCTCCAGCAGAACAGGCAGGATGAAGACCCCCAGGGAGTGACGTACGCCCAGGTGAAACACTCAAGACCAAGACCCAGACAGGGAATGGCCATCTCTCCTTCCTCCCTGTCAGAGGAATTGCTGGACACAAAGGGCAGACAAGTGGAAGAGGACAGACAGATGGACAGTCAGGTGAGTCCCATCCTCTGTAGACCTCCAGGTTTCCCCAACCACAACCAAGTGTCATCCCTCTCTCTCCCCCCTGCTCCAGGCTGCACCTGATGCCCCCCAGGATGTGACCTACGCCCAGCTGAACCTCTTGGCCCTTAGACGGCAGACAAGTCCCCCCCCAACCTCCCCATCAGAGGATCCCCGAGAAGAGCCCAGCTTGTACGCTACTCTAGCCACCCACTAGCCCAGGAAGGACCCAGACCCCACGCTCCAGGGAGGGGACCTGCAGGGACCCCAGAAGGCATGGGTACTTCCCGCATGGACTCAGCTAGTGACCCCAGCCAGTCTGGAGACCAGACAAGCTCCCCCAGCAACTCCTGGGACCCTCTGGGAGTCACCCAGTTCTGTAAGCAATATGCCTACATTTTGGAATCAAAGCAAGACTTCTCAATAATCAATGTGTGAATTTAGAACAAAACAGAAGTGAAAGAATGCTTTAAATGAATGACAATGTAAATATCATACATCAAACCTATGAAGTGGAACATAGAAACAATCTAAGTGTCCTTGAACCGATAATTGGATAAAGATGTGGTAACTATACAAACAGAATATTTCTCAGCCATAAAACATGAAATACTGCCATTACCACAACATGGATGGATCTGCAGAGTATCACGCTAAGTGAAGAAAGTCAGAAAGAAAAGTACAAGAGCCGTATAATTTCACTCATGTGTGTGAAATATGAACCTGAAGTATCATGTATGTTAAATACATTGAATCTCTAATTAAAACTTTCCTGCAGCCCTAGCCGGTTTGGCTCAGTGGATACAGCATTGGCCTGTGGACTTGAGTTCAATTCTGGTCAAGGGCACGTGCCTGGGTTGCAGGCGTGATCTCCAGTGGGAAGCTTGCAGGAGGCAGCTGATTGGTGATTCTCTCTCATCATTGATGTTTCTCTCTCTCTCTCCCTCTCCTTTCCTCTCTGAAATCAATAAAAAATAATATATATATTTTTAAAAATTTTCTTGCAAAGTGGCCTTAGATTTCAGAAAGTTTCTCTGCTAAATGCTTCTGAACACTTATGCATGTATGAAATACACCCACATATACACATGCATGTATGAAATCCATACATATACACATGGACATATACATGGGCACATACAGACATATACACAAACATACACGGACATATAAATCAGCACACATGGACACACACATCAACATACACACACATACACACACATAGATATACACACAAAAAAATCTAAAATAGTATAAAGATCTATTATTCTAATTTGAAAAGGATGTATCCAATGTCACTGGATACATCATTAATATCTAAAAACCAATTGCGGCCGAAACCGGTTTGGCTCAGTGGATAGAGCGTCAGCCTGCGGACTGCCCAGCAGCTTGCCTCACATTCAGCCAGCCTGAGGGTCGATCCCACCCACAAACACAATAGCCATCAAGACTCAATTACACAGGTCTGGTGTGGAGAGCCCCTCGCCAATCTTGGGGAACCTGGTGCGAAACCATTCCTAGACGACCTCCTTCTGGGTTGGGGTTTCGTATGTAGCAGAGCAGCTCTCTCGCCAATTGCGTTTCAGACTTCCAGTTTTAGACCAAGGGGAAGCCGACCGATGTCCCCCTAACCCCCCATACAGCACAGCAAAATCCCTGGTCATTGCACATACATCAAAAAGCTCATGCCTGGCTTTGGGCTGGAGCTGCGAGGTGCGGCCTCCTGACCACAGCAGCCTGGAGATCAGACGTGGACCCGGCTGCTCCTGGGACTCTCTGGGAGTTACCATGTTCTATAAGCAATATGCCTACTTTTTTAAAATTTATTTATTGATTAAGTTATTACATATGTGTCCTTGTCCCCACATTACCCCCCAACTCATGCCCTCACCCCCCTGTTGTCTGCGTCCATTGGTTAGGCCTATATGGATGCATATAAGTCCTTTGGTTGATCTCTCCCCCTTACCCCCACCCTCCCCTACCTTCCCTCTGAGGTTTGACGGTCTGATCGATGTTTCTCTGTCTCTGGATCTGTTTTTGTTTATCAGCTTATGTTGTTCATTATATTCCATAAATTAATGAGATCTATGCCTACATTTTGAAATCAAAGCAAGACTTCTCAATAACCAATGTGTGAACTTAGAACAAAACAGACGCGAGAGAATGTTTTAAGTGAATGATGGGCAGCAGCTGCCATGGGCAGCCCTACAGCAGCTCTCCTCTCTCCCTCCTCCCCACCTCTAGCCTCACTGACTGACCTGCAGGCCCCCAGGAGCCGCAGAACACCTACAAGGCTGTGGCTGACCAGGTGTGTGCCACGCTGCTACGGTCCTCTTCCTTCAGTCCTTTCATGGGGCATCCTGACAACTCCAATGTTAACGGCAAATGCAGATTTCAAGGTGGAGGCAGAGTATATGGAAGCTACTACACTCACTTCCTCCCAGGACCAAACGGGAATTACAACTAAATGAAAGAGAAATCACCCTGAATAACCACCTGGAGACTAGCTGAGGAGTCACAGAGCCAAGGATTTACAGAAGCCACTTGGAGACTGGCAGGAAGGGCAGGCACGGGAAAAGGGCCGCCCAGCTCTCACAGGCAGTGGCTGACCTTGGCCTGAACCAGAGTCCCTCCCAAGAGGCCCAGAACCAACCCCAGTGGCCAGCTTCAGACGACATCAGAGCAGGACCCAACTAGCCTCACAAGCAGCACATCCAAAGGGAGATCTCCCAGACAACAGACCCTGCTGAGGCCAATGCCGCTTAGTCTGGTCAGCATCTGCCCAGCAGCTTGCCTCACATTCAGCCAGGTCTGGTGTGGAGAGCCCCTCGCCAATCTTGGGGAACCTGGTGCGAAACCATTCCTAGACGACCTGCTTCTGGGTTGGGGTTTCGTATGTAGCAGAGCAGCTCTCTCGCCGGCTGGGGGAAGGTCAAGGGGAAAAAAAAGGAGACATATGTACTACTCTTTGTAATATT